TTCCTGAGGTCATGATTTTTGTTTTTTTTCAATCATTTCCTTTACCTTTTCCTTTGCTAAAGTTTTTTTCTTTTAATTACTCAATTACTTTCTTAGTTTCTTTCATTTGAAATTCTCAGAAATGCCCAGTTTGCCAAAATATATGATGCCTTTTTAAAACCCAATTAAAAAACATCACTCAAACAATTTTTCAAGGGGGTAGTCCATGAGCAACCCTGATACACAATAGTGTGGTTTGTTTGGAGGGTACACTATTGTGTCCGGCTGCTTCCTGAGGTGATTTTGTTTTTTTTTGCAACCATTTCCTTTACCTTTTCCTTTGCTAAAGTTCTTTCTTTTTAATTAATTAATTACTTTCTTAGTTTCTTTCATTTGAAATTCTCAGAAATGCCCAGTTTGCCAAAATATATGATGCCTTTTTAAAACCCAATTAAAAAACATCACTCAAACAATTTTTCAAGGGGGTAGTCCATGAGCAACCCTGATACACAATAGTGTGGTTTGTTTCGAGGGTACAATATTGTGTCCAGATGCTTCCTGGTGTGATGTTTTTTCAAGCATTCCCTTTACCTTTTCCTTTGCTAAAGCTTTTTTCTTTTATGGTATTTCTATGGTATTACTATTGGATTTCTATGGAATTCCTATGGGGTTTCCATGATGTTTCTATGATATTTCTGGAGGATTTCTATGGGATTTCTGAAGGGGTGCTACGGGAGTTCTATGGTATTCTTATGGGATTTCCATTGGATTCCTATGGGATTTCTATGGTATTTCTATTGGATTCCTATGGAATTTCTATTGGATTCCTGTGGGATTTCCAAGGTATTTCCATGATGTTTCTATGATATTCCTATGGGATTATTATTGGAATTCTCATGGGATTTCTTTTGTGGTTCCTATGCTATTCCATGTTATTTCTATGATCTTTCTATGGTATTTCTGTGAGATTCCTATGGCATTTCCATGGTATTTCTATGATATTTCTTTGGGACTACTATTGGATTTCTATGGGATGTCGATTGAAAGTAAATTGGCAGTAAAATGAAATCAATTGAAAGTAAATTCAAAGTAAATTGAAATCAATTGAAAGTAAATTGAAATCAATTGAAAGTAAATTGAAATCAATTGAAAGTAAATTGAAATCAATTCAAAGTAAATTGAAATCAATTCAAAGTAAATTGAAATCAATTGAAAGTAACTTCAAATCAATTGAAAGTAAATTGAAAGTAAATTGAAATCAATTGAAAGTAAATTGAAATCATTTCAAAATAAACTGAAATCAATTGAAAGTAACTTCAAATCAATTGAAAGTAAATTGAAAGTAAATTGAAATCAATTGAAAGTAAGTTGAAATCATTTCAAAATAAATTGAAATCAATTCAAAGTAACTTCAAATCAATTGAAAGTAAATTGAAATCAATTGAAAGTAAATTGAAATCAATTCAAAGTAAATTGAAATCAATTCAAAATAAATTGAAATCAATTGAAAGTAAATTGAAATCAATTTAAATCTAATTCAAATCAATTGAAAGTAAATTGAAATCAATTGAAAGTAAATTGAAATCAATTCAAAATAAAATGAAATCAATTGAAAGTAAATTGAAATCAATTGAAAGTAAATTGAAATCAATTGAAAGTAACTTCAAATCAATTGAAAGTAAATTGAAATCAATTTAAATCTAATTGAAATCAATTGAAAGTAAATTGAAATCAATTGAAAGTAAATTGAAATCAATTGAAAGTAACTTCAAATCAATTGAAAGTAAATTGAAATCAATTTAAATCTAATTCAAATCAATTCAAAATAAATTGAAATCAATTGAAAGTAAATTGAAATCAATTTAAATCTATCATTTTTTTTCATTTCACCGTATTGCGTACCCGGTACCTTGGTTTTTTTACACTATTCTGTATCCAAAATTTGTTTGGGGGGGGCCTCCCCACACTAATCTGTAACCTACATTAGATGGATAGATGGATAGATGGATAGATGGATAGATAGATAGACAGATAGACAGATAGACAGATAGACAGATAGACAGATAGACAGATAGACAGATAGATAGATAGATAGATAGATACATAGAAAATAGATAGGTAGGTAGGTAGATAGTCAGAGAAAGAGAGAGAAAGAGTGAGAGAGATCAAGCACCTTTCAGTCCATCAGTGGCTTCGCTCTGCCATCCCTGATTCACAACAACCAACCTCTCCTATAGGTTTCCTATTTTTGAAACTTCCGCCACCGCCTTGTGCGGCACTACTGGTACAGTATGAGTTCTCAAGACATCTTGGCCTTTGTAAGGCGCCGCAGCGTGTGTCTCACAACAAAAATGGCATGCTGGTATTATATCATTGTGAATTATGACTTGTCGTTTGCATCCTGTATGGTTGGGGAGGCGCTAACCCGGTGGGCAGAAGCCTCACCGGAACTGCCCTGCAGCTTTGCCATGTGGGTTGTGGACAACGTGGAGGAACTCCACAAGTCTTTGCCAAGGACTCGCTTCTTCTCGCTCCTTGCTGCAAGCAGAGCAATGCAGAGCAATGCAGCGGGGAAGATTGGTTCAAAAAACAGATATAAACAGAACATAAACAGAACATACCGTTCAAATCTGTTCAAGGAATTTCCAGTAGCTCGTCACTGAATGTGCTACCAAGGACGAGGACGCTCTCCGGAGATCGATCTCCGAAGTCCGAGAAAAATGACTTGTCATGGCTATTCCTTGGCGCCCGCACACTTGACCAAAGTGCCATGAGAAATGACTTTGTTGCTTGGAGTGCATGCAAAAGATGCAAAGGCTATCTATGTTCTCTTCGTTTCTCTTCTATGTTCTTTTGATTTCTTTTAGATCATTGGATTTCAAGCGTGTCAGCGCATTTCATTTTGCAGAAATTGAGATATTGTGTGGTATCATATTATGATAATGATATTGTCATAGTCTTGTCATAGTCTTGTCATCGTCTTGTCATCGTCTTGTCATCGTCTTGTCATAGTCTTGTCATCGTCTTGTCATCGTCTTGTCATAGTCTTGTCATAGTCTTGTCATAGTCTTGTCATAGTCTTGTCATCGTCTTGTCATAGTCTTGTCATAGTCTTGTCATAGTCTTGTCATCGTCTTGTCATCGTCTTGTCATAGTCTTGTCATAGTCTTGTCATCGTCTTGTCATAGTCTTGTCATAGTCTTGTCATCGTCTTGTTATCGTTGTGTCATCGTCTTCTCATCGTTTTGTCATAGTCTTGTCATAGTCTTGTCATAGTCTTGTCATATTCTTGTCATCGTCTTGTCATAGTCTTGTCATAGTATTGTCATAGTCTTGTCTTAGTCTTGTCATAGTCTTGTCATAGTCTTGTCATCGTCTTGTCATCGTTGTGTCATAGTCTTGTCATAGTCTTGTCATCGTCTTGTCATAGTCTTGTCATCGTCTTGTCATCGTTGTCTTCGTCTTGTCATAGTCTTGTCATATCTTGTCATCTTGTCATCGTCTTGTCATCGTCGTCTTGTCATCGTCATCTTGTCATAGTCTTGTCATCTTGTCAGTCTTGTCATAGTCTTGTCATAGTCTTGTCATAGTCTTGTCATAGTCTTGTCGTCTTGTCATAGTCTTGTCATAGTCTTGTCATCTTCTTGTCATAGTCATAGTCTTGTCATCGTTTCATGTCTTGTCTTGTTCATAGTCTTGTCATAGTCTGTCTTGTCATAGTCTTGTATAGTTTGTCATAGTCTGTCATCTCTTGTCATCGTTGTGTCATCGTCTTGTCATCGTCTTGTCATAGTCTTGTCATAGTCTTGTCATAGTCTTGTCATAGTCTTGTCATCGTCTTGTCATCGTTGTGTCATCGTCTTGTCATAGTCTTGTCATAGTCTTGTCATAGTCTTGTCATAGTCTTGTCATAGTCTTGTCATAGTCTTGTCATCGTCTTGTCATCGTCTTGTCATAGTCTTGTCATAGTCTTGTCATAGTCTTGTCATAGTCTTGTCATAGTCTTGTCATCGTCTTGTCATCGTTGTGTCATCGTCTTGTCATAGTCTTGTCATAGTCTTGTCATAGTCTTGTCATAGTCTTGTCATAGTCTTAGTCATCGTTGTGTCATCGTTGTGTCATCGTCTTGTCATAGTCGTCATAGTCTTGTCATCGTCTTGTCATAGTCTTGTCATAGTCTTGTCATAGTCTTGTCATAGTCTTGTCATCGTCTTGTCATAGTCTTGTCATAGTCTTGTCATAGTCTTGTCATAGTCTTGTCATAGTCTTGTCATCGTCTTGTCGTCGTTGTGTCATCGTCTTGTCATAGTCTTGTCATAGTCTTGTCATAGTCTTGTCATAGTCTTGTCATAGTCTTGTCATAGTCTTGTCATCGTTGTGTCATAGTCTTGTCATAGTCTCTTGTTTCTCTCACAGTGTGGAAAGTGTCGTCGAAAGCGTCCAGGTTCCTCAGGGGGAGACCTTGGACTTTTTCGATTTTTTCCACTACATGCATGAGATGCGAAACAGAAGAAGATCTACGTGAAGCAGCAACTGAAATGCAAACACGTTTTGCAGCTCGGCAAAAAATCTACTGGTGGGTGTTTGAATGTGTTTGAAAGCATGGCCCCACTGCGTCTGCAGAAATTCACGTAATCCCCACACCACATGTTGGATCTGAGTGTTGATTGCACGCAATGTTCATAGCAGTCAATGTGGCGAAGAAAAAGGAGGCTCGAAATTCAACTCTAGACTCCTCGCCTACGACAACCTTGAGGGTTCCAAAATCCCGAGTCTGTCCCGTTGATCTCTGAGGTTGTCTTTGACAACGGGGAGAGACATTTCAGTGTTGCGGAGGACGATTGCTGCAAGTTGACAGACTGAAGTGTCCTCTGTAAGAAACGTTGGAAGAGGTCTTTTGAAATATAATGACGAACTGATGAACTGTAGCCAGCTATAGCAGGCTAGGGTTTGTTTGTCAGCACCGCCGAAAATGTCTCTGCGTCTACAATTATAATGTTGCGTAGCTGATTGAAAGGCGTGCCACAGTGCACGGGCCCCATTTCAACCCAATGACTCGACATGACTCAATCATATCTCAACCATTTTACCGGCCATGGTGCTGCAACGCATATCTAGTTTCATTTTGCACGAATTGGTTGCCGAATTTGGCACGGGACATTGGAAGTATTCGAAAGTTTCGAATTTCTCGTTTTTCAGGAGCTGGTCCTGGCTCTACGAGAAGTCCAAGGTGTCAAGGTCAGAATGAGAGATGATGAGATCGCCTAATTCGTTGTAGTATTGTTATGTATTGTTTACCATTGGATCGTACTGGTTACAGCCGGTCGCAGGATGTGACATGTCTTCAAGTATCTGCCGCCACTTGGTATTTGCTTAGTCTTAATGTCTGTGTCTTTATAGCCCGGGCTCATTGAATGAGATTTGCTCTGGTAGTGGCTTGCACTTGTATTGAACCGGTTGTTGATATTTGTTGATTTTGTGCGTGTGCCGATTTGTTCTGGGTGTCGCCTCTATTCCTAAGGCATGGCTTCATTGCGCACAGCTTTGGCATCGATGTTGCCAGGACCATCAATGAAGTGCGTTGACTTTGTGACTTTACCTCCAGCTTCGCTTCCACATGTCGGCCAAACATGTACACTTTGTGCTTCAACATTTTTTCACCACTTTGCTTTCTCTTCTGTACTTTTTGTGCTGTGTACCTGCCAGGCAGAGTCAGAAGCTGTTGGACAAGTGGTTCGGCTGTTGAACAAGTCACAGGCGCTTTTGAACGGCAACAGGCCGAGACACAGAACGGACAAAGCATGAGGACATTGGCAGGTGCCATTCTCGCACCTGAAGCGCATGGCGATTCCAAGCAACAGCCTGAGATGCACTTTGCCTATTTTTGCCTTGCAAAGCACATTGTTCAATCTGTCCATGTCTTAACTTCTTCTGAGAACTGGATGTGATTTTGGCTTCATTGCTGCAAAGTCTGCGAAGTTGCTGCCCTAGGTTTGGACGCTTTGTGGCAACGAGCATGGACTCTTTTGCCGCCATGGGCTAATTTTGTTGCATAGGTCACATCATGATGCAGGATCTTTTTAAGAATCACAAGGCACACGACTGCAGAACCTCATCTTCCTGGAGTCTTCTTGTGCGACATTTTGGCTTCCGGCTTAAGTGAAAATAGATAAAAAATGATGAAATATCATTGGCAGAGCCATGGTCGGCCATGGTCAGAAGTTCGTGAAGCGCGGTGAAGCACGGATAGTCATGGGAAATTAACACGTGAAGCATCCTTGTGACAGCATCTTGACATGGCTCACACCCTGAGGCCTGTGAGTGTGAGCTCCCTTCGGCCACAGCCATGCGAGCACTTCATCATTTCTTGCTTGGGCCTTGAGAACCATTGAAGGTCGTTGAAGGCAATGAGAAAAAGTACACACTCCAGAAATGGAGGACAGGCAAAGGTGGCTGTATTTTTTACAATGGTTCTGTGCTTTGCTTTCGCCTTAATGTTGTAGCATTTTCTCATGAAGCATCCCGTTTATCATAATCTCGAGTATTATCCTCTGGTGGCCCTTGCCCGTGTGCCCGTGTGCCCGTGGATCGGGGTTGTGCCCGTGTGCCCGTGGATCAGGTTGTGCCCGGGTGCCCGTGTGCCCGGGCCAGCGACAAGTCCAGAAGTCCAGAAGTGGCACGCTTGCAGGCAGTTGCAATCTGTCTGTTGGTTCCCCAAACAGTCAGTCCACACTGAGGGGTTCTTACGGTAGATGTAAAGGCCGGTGCCTGGTCTGGGTGCTCACTCTGGTCTGCCGCATTTTTACCTGTAAATTTCTGTATGGTTGCGGCTCTTGTGACATGTTGAAGTGCATTTGCACTGTGCAGTCTGGCAGTCTCGCAAAAAGTGTATGTCTGCGTTCTGGCCGCATCGGTCTTCCTCCTCAACATCAACATCTTCCTCCTCAACATCAACATCATCATTTTCCTCTTCCTTGACACCAACTTCAATCGGCTCCGCAGTACACAGCGGATGTTCCAGCAAGGAATGTATCTATCTACCTATCTATCTATCTATCTACCTATCTATCTACCTATCTATCTATCTATCTGTTTGTCTGTCTGTCAACCGGTTGCAAAAGCGTGATGTCATAGCAGCATGAGCTCGTTGCCCGTCGTTGTAGACCTTGGTGTTTGTTTGACGTTCCTTCCTGTTGCATGACCATGTGGTTGCCTTGTTGTTTGCATGCAACTTTGTTCCGCTGTGCTGTCATGCGTTGATCTTAAATGTTAATTTCGACATGCGGCGTTTCGGCGCCGTCTGCTGTAGATGGCATGTCGCTGTCCTTGCCGTGTTGTTTGCGTGCAGCTTAATGTCGTTGTTTTGCCTTGATCTTAAGTTAATTTCCACATGTGTCGTTTTGGCTCCGTCTACCGTAGATTCCTCGTCTCCCTTTCTACTTATCGATCTATCCTTTTGCCTGTGTATCTACATGTCTGTGCGTCTGTCTTTCTATCTATCTATCTATCTACCTACCTATGTATCTGTCTGTTTGGCTGTCTGTCTGTCTGTGTGTCTTTCTATCTACCTCCCTATCTATCTGTCTGACTGTCTGTCTGTCTATCTCTCTGTCTGTCTGTCTGTGTGTCAATCGGTTGCCGCAGCGTGATGTCATAGCAGCATGAGCTCGCTGCCCGTCGTTGTAGACCTTGGTGTTTGTTTGACGTTCCTTCCTGTTGCATGACCATGTGGTTGCCTTGTTGTTTGCATGCAACTTTGTTCCGCTGTGCTGTGATGCGTTGATCTTAAATGTTAATTTCGACATGCGGCGTTTCGGCGCCGTCTGCTGTAGATGGCATGTCGCTGTCCTTGCCGTGTTGTTTGCGTGCAGCTTAATGTCGTTGTTTTGCCTTGATCTTAAGTTAATTTCCACATGTGTCGTTTTAGCTCCGTCTACCGTAGATTCCTCGTCTCCCTTTCTACTTATCGATCTATCCTTTTGCCTGTGTATCTACATGTCTGTGCGTCTGTCTTTCTATCTATCTATCTATCTATTTATCTATCTATCTATCTTTCTATCTACCTATCTATCCATCTATCTATGTATCTATCTGTCTATGTATGTATCTATGTATCTATTTATCTACCTACCTATGTATCTGTCTGTTTGGCTGTCTGGCTGTCTGTCTGTCTGTCTGTCTGTGTGCGAACCGGTTGCCGCAGTGTGATATCATATACCAGCATTATGAGCTCGTTGCCCGTCGTTGTAGACCTTGGTGTTTGTTTGATGGCATGTCGCTGTCCTTGCCGAATGTCGTTGTTTTGCCTTGATCTTATTTTCCTCATGCGTCGCTTTGGCTCCGTCTTCCGCAGATTCCTTTCAGTGGGCTCGCCGTTATTCCGCCGCAATGTTGTCATTATTCACGTCGCTTCGCGACGGCAACCGCCCGCACCGCATCGTTCTCTTCTACTGCCATTGTTCTCTTCTATTGCCGTCGCTCCGCGACAAGAACCCCTGTGCGGCCGCCACGGTTTGAACGATGTTGTTCTCACACCTTCGCGACCGCTCGTAACTGCCAATGATGTCGGCCATTGAGACCAAAAACATCCGAAAGTACTGATTGTCGGGGAAAAAAAACGCGAAGAATTTGATAGCCACGTGTAGCGGACCAACGCAGTTCAAAAAATAACGAAAACATGAAAAAACGGCGAAATTGCTGTTATTTAGAATGTTTTTACGCGGTGAGAAGCAGAAACCACTGCAAATACCATGGTTTTTGAGGGTCAGGTGGCCAAAAACACTGTAATTTAATTTACAGTGTTTTTTTAACCAACGTCAAAAAACACTGGTATTTACGATGTTTTCATGCACACCGTAACATAAAACAGCGTAATTTACGAGGTTTTTGGAAGTTTTGAAGCTAGCCGTCAAGCATGCAGAAAACAGAAAAACACTGTAAAAACCAGTGTTTCTGCTATCACAAAACGACGAAAATCAGTCCGAAAACGGGTCCAAAAATTCAAAAATCCGCCTCCGGGCCAGGCCACCTGCGGAACCGGAAAAAAAGATGTTGCAAACCAAAAAATTGAGGTCAATAAGTTGAAAAACACGGGTTTTTTTCACTTTTCGCTTGCCGATTTTGGATGGGCGCGTTCACGAACAGGTGTCTTCCGTACTGTTTTTTACAGTGTTTTTTGAAGGCGAGCGTCACGACCTATCAAGAGCAGGAGGTTTTGGCCGAAAAATGCCCCCCCCCAGGTAAACCTGTAACCTTTTACGAGTGCCATCCGGACGATCACGCCCCAGCACCTTCGGTGCGGGCGGATTTCCGTCATGTTAACTGAGTTTCGTTGATTCCTGCGCCCGTGTGTCCGTGGATTGCCAGTGTGCCCGTGTGCCCGTGGATTCCTCGTGTGCCCGTGTGCCCGTGGATTCCTCGTGTGCCCGTGCGCCCGTGGATCGGCCGTGTGCCCGTGTGCCCGGAGGGCCGTGAAGAGAGTAATCTCGATCATAGCATTTGTTGGCAATCATGGTCCAGTAGTCGTTTAATGATTTGACCAGGCTTGGTCGCCGTTTTGTTTTGCTCGCTGGTTCGAGGCTCCGCTTGGCTTTTCGAGAGGGGGCGGAGCTCATGTGGACGAGCGTCTAAGTCCAAGCTGCAGGGAACCATGTATAGGCAAAGACAGCGCAAGCAGGTGATGTGACCCGCAATTTTCGGAAGGAAGGCAGGGCAACGAAACAAAGTCAAGCAACGCAACAGAAGAGACAAAGAAATCAAAGGGACATATAAAATCAGCGAAAGGTTACGCCAGCACAAGTGGGAGACAAAGCGAACTCAGCCAAGGCCACAGGTGCGGGATTGCTTGATCGTTCTGGTCTGCAGGCGCGACTTGAACCGATTTGCATGCTGAACAGTAGAAACCCGGACCGAGCCGTTTAATGCTTCAGTCTGGGCGCCCACCCAAACAGCTGAAGACAATCGAGTGGATGCTTTTGAAAACTGCTAGTGCATAATGTGTTGCTCGCGAGTTCGACTTTGTCGTGGGTGAAGCATGGCAGGAAGGCTTGCTGCTGAAAACAAGTGCTGGGCCCGTTTTCTTGCAGCTGCGCCGGGCGCCTTGAAAATTGTGGACCTTGTATGCTGAGTCTATACCGTACCAAAGCTTGAAAGCTAATGTTAAATAGATGAAGTGGTGTGCCGCCTCAGACAGGGGACAAAACTTGCAGGGCTCGAGAATCCGAGAAAACAGCGGAGGACAGCTAGAAGCTGACAGGATTTCAGCATGGCGTTTTTTTTTGTGCGTGGAATACTTTCCACAGCATGCCATGCGGATCCTCACCCTAATCACGCAGAGGGCCCCGCACAATCTCAGGCATTTTGCTCTCACCCGGTGTAGATGCCAATGCGCTGGACTTTTTCAAGACTTTGGAGCACTGCCCTCAGGAGTCAGTCTTTATCTGAGGGTAAGACAATGAGAAGGAAGACTTTTCCCTTTTCGGCGCACCGAAGGATTAGGCTGGAAAAATGAGGCCTATGAAGAATTTTCTTTACGTGGCCCCCAAAAAATTTGCTCAGAGATTTAACTCCCCCCTTTGTCCAGTGCATGGGTTCTTCCCTCCCGGTTTCCATGTGTTTCCTTCGGAGCAATTTTTTGGAGCGTTTCCTTACCCTTCACAGCTTCCCTTTTGGAGGCATTACTTGTGGCCGTCATAGCCTAGCCAGCATAACCCCCTAGGCTGGCTAACCTTCACCACCATCATCACCACCATCACCACCGGCACCTTCATCGCCATTAGCATCATCATCCTGAGCATCACCGTCACCATCACAAGCATCAATTGTACCATTGCTCCTGCATTGTCATTTTTGTCCTCCTCCTCCTCCTCAACATTTTCCGTGCCCCACATCATCATGCCTACTTCTGCTCCTTTGTGCCATATACATCTTTTCCAACCACCCATGCAATAATTTGCCCGCACCGAAACACACCTCCCTCCCTCGCTCCCTCCCTCCCTCCCTCCCTCCCTCCCTCTCTCTCTCTCTCTCTCTCTCTTTCCTGCGTTTAAGGTTTCACCCCAAATGCCTTTTGTTTTCTTCCTCTTGCTTTCGAGTCTTTAATGACATTGGCATGCCGCATGCTATAGTAAGGCATGCCTTTGGCCAAGGATTGGAGGCTTTTTACCGCTTCAATTCCGCTCTCTATGGGCCACGGCTCTCAGTGTGCTTTCGTCATTAAGATCATTGGGTCCACCATGCTGACATGGTTCAAGGTGAGGTGGTTGCAGCTTGAGCTCTCATTACGGAGAGCAGTGAAATCCAAGAGTTCTAGCGCACTCAAGGCCGGAACCGGATAAGACTGTTTGAAATGGCTGGGAGCAAACCCTAATGTCTCACGCGCAACCTTTGAATTCCTTGGATAGACGCTTGAACTTGGAAGTTTGAAGCATAATCTCCTTCCATTGACAGAAGGTTTTTGCATGTCACTTCACCCAGGCTGCCATAGACCAAGCATGCCAGGACAGGCGGCGGTAGGTATTTCATGAGCGCACTTTTTCAACGAGCCTTAAATTGGAACAGGTTTGCCCAATGTTGTTCTTGTGCAGTGTTGTTTCCATCAAGATTTTGAGGAGCTTGAGAAGGATGAGCTCAAGGCTTTTGCGGGAGCATGGCTGGACCGGATAGAGGCTGGGTTTTTGCATTGCTGCAACACTTCAAACGGGCTCAAGGATTTTCAAGGATCACGGCTTGCCAAGGAGCTCTCGAAGCTCTTGAAGCATTGGCTGAAAAATGCGGGCAACTCAGGGGTCACGGCACGCGAAGCATCGAGGCTTCCATTGGTTTCTGTGCTAGGAGAGAAGGGCTGAAGAGGATCTTGCTGATGACCTGGAATATCGAGCAGAGCCTTGCAAATTGGAGGGGTGCTTTGCCGTTCCATCATGGAATAAAGCTCAACTCGCAGCAAAATTGTTGGTTGCTGGTATGAATTATTGTGCGTTCGCACAGTTTTTGGAAAAAGACGTGCATGATCTCCGTTTGAACTAGCTGACTTCAGCGTTGCCCTGCGAGAAAACATTTTCATTGAACATGGGGTGAAGTTGAACAGCTGTAAGCGAAAACGGCTTCATCCACTGTGTTCCAAAAAAATCTTCGACATTCTTCGAGTGTTTTGTGTTGCTGGACGTCACTGGCGCCATTTAAGTTGGTCCTCAACCTTTGCCCCGGCCAAGGACATGGCTGAAATGGGTCTGGCCCCGCAGCAGTGCTGGACTGGAATGGGGCACACACTACTGACTTTCGAAACAGAAAATGCAACAATTTTGCGCAAAATGTCAGATAGTGATAGTGTCGGATATTGGTCAATTTTTTCAAAATGCGTGAAACACAAAAGATTCGACATTTGATGTGCCACAGTGGTGTCTGCCATGCGTATCTTCACTGACCTTTTTATGGCAATCCGAAAGCACTCCAGGATCGACGTCGCTCAGTTAGCGGAAAACCGTTTGATGTATTGGCGTCAGAAGATGGAGATTGCAGCCTAAAAAACTCTCCACTGAAAAGCCTGGGACTTGGATTTGTGGTGGGTTTTCAGAAGATTCCGGAAGACATGGGTTTTGCGGCATGTAGTTTTGTTTTTTTCTGTTGCTAGGCGGATCAAGGTAACTATCACAAAGATAGCTTGCTAGTTGGAGTTGGGTTTGCTTTAGCAATAAGCTGGGGGTAGACTGGATGCAGCCTCCTTGATTCGTATGTCGGACTGGTTTTGGGGCCCCGTGTTCTTCTCATTTGCTCTGATGCATTTTAGCGGTGATCATTAGCAATTCCGATATATTCCGTTTGTTGTGTTGCAGCCTCAAACCCTTTGACACATACACGGTGCTGCCTCATGACGAAATCTGGGGGGGGCAAAATCCACCACCTGAGCAGAGTGCGGCACCTCCTCAGCAAAGCGCGGCGCCACTTCAGCAAACTGCACCTCAGGCATTGTCTTGGCAAGGGGTAGCAAGGGGTTCGAATTTTGCGGTGAAGTTGTTTCCTTCAAACTTTTCATCCTATTCACATGCCAGGGGGGCAGATGTGTCATTTTTGTCAAATTTGAATAGTCACTGAAAGGTGGAGCAAGAGGAGGTGTGCCCCTGGCTCGAGTTCCTGGTTGCCTTGCTGGACACGGGCGGGACGGGCGGAATTGCCTTTGATTCTTTTCCCTGAAGGCTCCTGCGAAGGGTTTTTCCCAAAGAATTGCCAAATTCATCTTTTCACCTCATCTACAGAACATCTCCTGCATCCTTTGCATCACCAAAATCAATCTACATCTACATTACAAATGAACTTAAAGAATGTGAGCAACAAGAAAGAGCTTGACCTCGCCACAGCAGCTCGCAAACGTTTGGTGCAACAATGTGTCGAGCCCAACCCCGGTCCTCAGGGTTCGCGGCACGCAGAATTCAAAGTGACCACTCAGAACACGGGGGGAGTGCCAGGCTTGTGGCGAGCTTTGTCCCAACTCGCCGACAAGTGCGTGTTGTGTTGCCAGGATTGTGCCCTCTCAATCCTAGTGAACTTGCTGCATTCACTGCCTCCGCTGCCACAGCGGGATACAAAGTTTATCACCAGGAGCCCACTCGGGTCCAAGGTAGACCTACAGGAGGTGTTGCCACCTTGATTCCCAAGCGCCTCCGACATCACCCACTTCGTTGTGATAAAGGGAATTTGCAGCTTTGTTTGTGGAAGGAATCATTGTTGTCAACAGCTATTCTGCTCCTGGTGAACTTCAGCAACAAGCGGAAGCCATCCTTGCCACTATGGAATCTCACCACATGGCTCACTTGGGTTGGGTGGTCGCCGGAGATCACAATGATCTGCCAGATTGCAGCGTGCTTGTTCAAGTTCTTCAAGCAGCCCATCAAGCTGTCGTTGTCGGTGTTGGACAAGGAACACGATGGCAACAAGACACACCCCGTGAAATCGATTTTTCATTGCCAACCGAGCTGCCACGTGCACCCCGGCCTTTTGTGAAACGGTGCGCCTGAGCGACCATATAGGCATCACCACTACCTGTAAAGCTCAAGGCCGACCTTTGCAAAGAGGCAGGTTGAAGCCTCAACCCAAGTGGGAGCAACCCAGCTTTGTTTCCACCGAAGAATGGAAATCCTTGGTTCGCAAAGCTTGGTTTCAGTGCAGCCACGCTCCTGTATCACAATACTTGCAGAACTTAAGTGATCAGCCATAGACATAGAGCAAGAGTGGAAGCACTACATGAGCCTTCTCAGCGAAGTCATGCGTCTCGCCACTCGCAACGCTGCCAGACACATCACCAGCCCTGCACATCACCAGCCCTGCACATGAACGTGAAGTGTTGCAAAAGCTGCGCCAGCCTGGCGTTAAAACAGGTAAGGGTCTGCAGCAGCCGGAAATTCAAATAATCAATAGGGTGCTGAGAAATGCGGCTCCTGCAAATACTTCTCAAGCTGATAAAGCTCTGTCCAGAAGCTTGGCTCGCTGTGCTCCGCTTGACAAAGAAAGAAGTCAACAACGGCAAGCATCAGGTGGCACATTGCCACAATGAACTCCATAGTTTGTTGCACAAACTTTGGCCTCACCAGTTTGTGATAGCTGAAACCAGCTTCGCTCAGGTACTTGCTCACGTGACCGCTGCAATTGCCTCTTGCCGTGCTGAAAGGGAGAGACAGGAAGCTGCTGACACTGAAGCCAGGCTCCAAAAATGGCGGCAAAAGTTTGTCAACCAGGACATCAAAATCATGAGCCAATGGATGCGTCAAAAGGAAGCCCAGCAGAGGTGTGTTACTGTCACTCATCATGGCCAATCAGCGCACTCTGATAACCAAGCTGCTGAGTTTATCCATGAGTTTTGGTCGCAACTGTGGACAGAACAAGCTCAACGCACTGAAAGGCTCGGTGTCAACGCCGAGTCCATTGCCCGAACCTTGACTCACCATTTTCCACGTCAACATTTTGCTCACCAGTGGGAACCTCCCATCTGCTGGGAAGTGATTGCCGCTGCCCAAAAATGTCAAGGGGCAGCTGGATGTGACAGTTGGACAGCCGTAGAGGTCCACGCTCTGCCTAAAGAAAGTTTACACATTTTTCACACTCTTGCTTTGCGTTGGTGCGTGGCCGAGAAAATCCCTCGTGCTCTCACCCAAGGAAGAATTGTGAACATTCCCAAAATGCATAAGCTCACTGACACTGGTTGTGTGGCCACCTCTGACTTGCGTCCTATCACTGTGCTCAGCATATGGTGGCGCGTTTGGGCTGCATCCTGGTGCCTCAGCCGAAACTGCAAAACTTGGGTTGAAGCTCTCCCAGAGTCTCTGTGTGGTTTGAGTCAGCACGCAGGAGCTGAAGAAGCTGCAGCCAAGTTGCAAGACTCGTTAATCGAGTCCCAAGGTCACCTGGTCACTTTGGACTATTATTCTGCTTGCTACGACCGCATGTCAGGCACAGCCAGCGCAGACTTCTTGGCACAAATTGGCCTTCCCAAAGCTTTGACGGAACATATTCGGCAGGCTTGGTATACCGAAAGATGGATACAGTATGGGGACCATACCCACCCTCGCACAATTCAGCATTCTGCTGTGCCGCAGGGGTGCCCTTTGGCGCCATTGACTCTTGCTTGTTGGATGTTGGCAGGTCAGCATTCGGTCAAGTCTCAGTTGGTTCAAGCTGGATTTTCGCCTGAAGCAGTTGACGCTCATCCTTTCCTTTCTTACATGGACGACAGAACTTGGATTGGCACAAACCTTCAACAGTCGACGGCCTGTGTTTCTGCTTGGACACACTTCTCAGATTCTGTCAGCCTCAAGGAGAACCAGAACAAAACTATGGCCTGCGCCAAAACAAAGAGGGGACAGGCACAACTCAAGGAGGAGCACCCGGAATGGTGCCGTGAAGCCAACTTCCCTGTGTTGGGTACGTGCATGACTACTGGTCCGCGTCGAAACACTGCCAAAGAAACTGGTCGTTTGCAGTCTGCCGTCAAACGCACTCAGTTGATCAAAGTTTTGCCTGTGCCGTACTCCGCCGGGCTCACTGTGTTTCGCAAACTAGCCCTCCCAGTGGCAAGTTTCGGTTGGGGCTCTCGAATGCCTCCCAAAGCTGATTGCAACTCCTTATTCAATACGTTGACTGCCGTGCTTGGTCGCAACAAGATGGCTAGCCCATTTGATCCGCTCTGTGATTTATGGAGGTACTGTTCATCTTCGACCAGTTTTGCAGCAGCGCTTGTTTGCTCGTTTGTGCAGACTTCGCAAGAACAACCCCGCGTGCAGGTGGGGCAAGCAGCCTGGCACGCAGGTTGCCACACTCCGTGCTTCTTTAAAGGATGATGCATGGCAGGAAGAAGGGCCCTGGCGCTGGTACCACCCTATCAGTGATCTTCGCCTTGAAATCCCTGCTGCAGCTGCAAAAGACGGCATTGCTTGTGGTACACATCAGCTGCGTGAAGTGTGGCGTGGAGCCACCTTGAAACAATGGGCAAAGAGCGCTCGGCACGAAGCACAGGCCTGGAGTGCTTCTGATGCTGACATTTGCCGCGCTGCGCAACAGATTGACTTTGCCTGGTTGCGCACATTCTTGGATCGATGCGATGGCGCCGCCAGATCGGTCTTGCTTGGTTCTGTGGTTTCTCCTGCCTGGATGAGTCGCATTCCAAATGCTAATCATGATGGTCGATGCGAATTCTGCCCTGAGGTGTTTGCAACCTGGCCTCACTTGGCTTGGCAATGTGAGGGTGTTCCTGATGTTTCGACCATGAGACCAAGTTCTCCTACACATTATCTCGGTCAGCGCATGGGCTGGCCGCGGAAAAACCAGCCCGAAGTTGAGAGGCTGGCCATATTGGCTTGGCTTGGCCACGTGTCTCAGCAGCTTTGGCTGGGGCGCTATGGCCACACTGGCTGATGCTTCATTTGGCCGCTGTGTGCGGCCACGCGTGATGCTGGTTGCAGAAGATATTGTTTGCAGTTCAAGGGCGCCAGCATCGTCTACAGTTTATATCATCTACATCATCTACATCAACTTCACACAATTTCATCTTTACATCATGCACATCATTTAAATCATCTTCATCTACGTTACGTACATCACCTAAATCATTGACATAATGTACATGTGCTCACCGCCCACATACCTCCCACAAAACTCCTACAATGCCATTTGCGCAGCAGTTCTTAATTGCACGGGAGTTGTTATACAAGAGCTGTCACACGAGTTATACAGGAGCTAACTTCCAGGTGATTTACTTGTATCTGAACTGCTACAAGCCTCCCACTTCTCAAGTTCTTCTAAGTTTTTCTCTTTTGGCGGCAGGGGCAGCCGGGCTTCGTCCATCGAAAAGTCAACCCCTGCGGAAATTGTGCGTGTCGGAGGCACAAACGTGTAGCTAAATGCAAATATTCTGTTCCACGGCGTCGCCCTTTCGCACGAAGCGAAGGTGGAACGTCAAAAACTGAGATAAAATTGCTATTGGCCAACGTCAGACGCAACCCTTTCGCATGAGATGATAGTGTCAAAAACTGAGGTC